GGGGGGGGGGGGGGGGGGGGATGGGGGGGCGAATGGCGGAGGACGACGGCGGTGATGATGATGTTGTCGTCGCCGCGATCGTTGCTGTTGCTGGTTTTGGCAACGCCCTGGGGAAATCTGGCGGGGCGCGAGCGAGGACGGAGGATGGAATTGAAGGTTGGGGCGGGTTTTTAGTTCGTTGATGCTAGTCGGGAACCCGTATCCGTACTGCCATGCACTAGCGGGCGGGCTAACTAACGGCTTGCTCGTACTCGTGTGCTCGTCGGGTGGATTCCCTCTCTCGTCTCTCGAGTGGAGGGAGAGGAGTAATGTGATGATGTCTGGTGATTTGAGATGTCGGATTGTAACGAGGCCGGCAATGAGACGTTTTTGGTCGGAAGAAAGAATAGTAACAAACGCCTCACCCACAAGAGAGAGAGAGAGAGAGAGAGAGAAAGAGAGAGAGAGGGGAAGAAAGGGGCAATCTGTATGGTAATACATAATACAGTAAAAAATAATACTAACTATTACCACTCAGAGGCTGTGGCAGGCGGATTTTCTGACAACTCTAGGTCCTCTGTCGGATAATCGATCCGGGTTGCCAAGCCAGAAAAAGCCCAGATCAATTGACTGTTCAATCCGCAGGATACATTGCGCTGCCAATTGATCCCAACCGGACATTCTTTCAGTTCACGACATAGTATCCTCCACCGACAGAGTAAGATTCAGAGGACAGCGCTCGCTCTCTCTCTTGTCCCGTCCTCTCACCTCTCACCGTACTCTCATGTACGCAGTAAGAGATGATGAGAAAATGATTGTAGATAACTGAAGAGGAACTCTTCTCCATGTTCTCGCAGAGGGAAGAAATATCTACAGGGTAGGTAGATTCTGACCAAATCATGGAACAGACATCACGTCATCACGTCATCATGAGCAGAGAGTACGGCACATGATGGCTTCACCTCCTGCTCTGGGCGCAATGAGTCAACGACTGCTGCCCAGATGAGTCGATTCCCAACCCTCTCTCTCCCGCAGGTCCGAGCTCAGCTTCTAACTCGTAGGGGGACGAGGGGCGGGGAAAGCCTGAGCCTAGAAGTGACACGACTCCCTTTACGTTGATCTTCTTCGCGTTCATGCGAGCTGAAGATGTCGAGCGTACACACTTCCAACCGTATCACGTGTCAGATATTATATATGTCATACTCGCCGTATACGTGTATGTGTGCCTGCGCACATCCGCAAGGCTTGGACAGGGTCGGGCCGTACAATATTGGTGGTGAGGCGCCTCTCAGGAGAGAGCGTAGAGCAAGGAGGGCCTTGAGAGTACGGAGGATTGCTATCTGTAATCTGCACATTGCGCCCGAGAAGAAGAATTTTTATCTTATTTTTACCGAAAAATAAAGATTTAAACGCTGGGCTCATCAGGTATCGACAGCAAAAGTGCGAAGGAACAAGGGAGGGAAACGATGATGGGAAGACTGACAATACTCCAAGTTGTATTCATGACAGTACCATCACTCCGTATCTGTGCAATGAACAGGAGGGATAGATGATTGGTGGCGGGTTATTCTGACCTCCGCGACCATGAAAGGAATCAACATCTGATCTGTCAAGGCTGTGTTGTACTCGTATATATATATATGTGTGTGTGTGTGTGTGTGTGTGTGTGCGTGTGTGTGTGTTGTGTATGTGTGTTGTGTATGCTTGTATGATGGATGAACCAGGCCGCGCCCCCTGCAAAGGCCAATCGACACGCCAACGCCAAGGAAGAGGCGATTCAGCATGATGGTCCCTTGATACTCTTACTAGGTTATAACTACTAGGTTATAACTACTAGGTTACAGCTACTAGGTTATAATAACTTTATATTAAGACGTCGCGCTGAGAATAGATCATGATGTTGGCTCGATACCAGATTGCCGGATCAGTAGCAACAACCCTTGGTCAATCCCTCGACCGTGGCCACGGTACAGATTAGTGAGTAACATCATCTTACTGGCAGTGCTGCGAGATCTGTCGACGGAGATCGATTGCCATTCCTCCCTCGGGTGGCAAGACAAATCTATCCATCGGTGTCGAGAGAGAGGGAGGGAGGGATTTGGTCCGCAATGACAGGCAATGCCGCCTCAATCGAATGTGAACCCTCTCCCTCTTCTCTGCCCCATGCTGATTTCCGACACCTGGCCTGGACGTTTGGGTCGAACGAGGCCAGCGGTGTGGTGGGGACGGCGTACGGATGTCTGCATGTCCGGTCCGATCTTGGGAGCAACGCTTGGGCCGCCTTGTACTTACATGTAGGGACACTCGCGCAGAAGAGAAAAGGGGGCGGCGGGGCGGGGCAGATTTCGGCAAGACACAGAAGAGAAGAAAAAAAGAAATACAGAAAGGGATCAATGGCGAAGTCGGGCGCTGGTGGGTGGTGGGTCATGGTACCGACACGATGCTGACAAGCAACATTACTACTGGTAGTATGCTAGTATGCAGGTGCAGGGATCGCCTCGTTGATTGAAATGAGCATCCTGCCAACTCGGTAGGCTGTCTGCTGTCAATTGAGGGTACCGATATATTAATCGGCACTCGTACATAATTTGCCTGCAGTGCTGGTGGTTGAATACTCCGTAATAATATAGATTGCAACTTCATCTGCCACCTTACTTGGCGCCGTCGAGTGCCTGCATTAGACAGGATGGGGGCCTTGTGGGTTATCATGGCCTGTGCGCTGAACCTGGATGCCGATGAGCCCATGATAATGCTCGTAGCCTACGACGCGCACTCCTGCTCGCACCCGTAGACTCGTAGCCGTATCGCTCTTGGAGAGGACCGGAAGGGATCTACGGATCACAGATGTGCTGATAGCACGAGCTGCTCGAGGTGATAATATTACTCGTGCGCGCGACCAGTAATATCGATACTGGATAGATGCAGTACGGAGTAATCTGTATGATCACCTGCACCGTGATGCTCGCATTATGCCTGCCCAGCGCCCCCATCATACTCCGTCGTCCCATCCCGTCCATGCTATCTGTCGACTCGGACCGGCCGCTGATCAGCTGGCATCTCGCACCTGTACGGTTCGCAGACCATCTATCCGTCCCCGTGACGATATCGATACCATTGCCCTCCCCGTACTCGGTAGCAGCATCCCGTCAGCAGCAGCACCATCGCTCCTCACCACGTCGGATGCGGGTGGCTCGGTGCCCACAGCTCTCGACCTGCCGAGCCGGGCTGCATTCGGCGCCCTCGACTAGCTCTCTCTGCCCTTGAAACTCCTCAGCTCCGCTCACCGATCCCCATACGATGGATGGTAGCCATAGGCTGTGCGGGTAGGCTGTAGGTACTCGTACGGTGCACATGTACTCGTAGACTGCTGCTTCGCCATGCCATGAAGGCGTTCATGCTGGAAGTTGCACGTTCCGGACCTCGGCACCAACTTGCCAGTACTATCCGTACACTCGACTCGACTCGACTCGAGCTTGGAGCCGCGCGCTCTACAGATTACATACATGTACGGGTAGTGTCGGAGACGGCATCTCGAGAGAGAATCCCCCTCTGTATTCGGTCGGCTGAGCGCGCACGCTACCAGCATCAATCCTTCACCAGGGAAGACACTAGCTTATAAGGGGCAGAGTTCAAATTACAGCTTGGGTGTTGGCAGGTTGGCGTTGGTAGGTAGAGTCCGAGGCTAGTACTGTTAGTAGTAATGACGATGCGACAAGTATATCTTACTATGCCACTAAAACAACCGGGTATAAGCGTAGCGAAACAGGAAAAAAAAAAAACCCCTTGCTGCTGTGTCAGACCTTTTCTCTTCTCGGTTAAAAAAAAAAAACGGAAAAAATGCGTCGGCGACTACTTGTATATACGAGAGTAATGGTCTCGTTTATTCCAGTCCTCCGACTCTCTCGGCATGTCTCTCTCGGCATGTCTCTCTCGAAATGTCTCTCTCGGGAGCGGCTGGCGGCTCTCTTCCCGCTGTTGGTGCGTCGGAAGTTTATCGATGACTGTTGAGTCTGTTGCAGGGAACCAGGTGACGATAGAACTGAGCTGCGCCTGCCTCGTTCACTGGGTGCCCTTAACTTGCTATTGCCTTTTCTTTCTTTTTCTTCCCCTCTTTTCTTCTTCTTCTTCTTCTTTCTTTCTTTTTCGGTTGCCTTGCTGCCTTGCTCTCTTCGCCTTGTAAAATACTCTCTGTACGGTAACATCATCTTAGTCATGATGCATTGAATCATCCGTAGTTTTGCTGACCTGGGACCTTGATCAGGTAGACACAAAATATGATTACAGGGCAAGACATCACAAACCAACACTTCCAGCCCAGCATCATCAGCCGGCATCAGCTCTGCCTGCCAGACTTCGCCCTCACCATATAGCTACTATTGCTACGACATGCTCTGCTTCACTCTCGTACCGAGTAATAATACGTCGAAACGTACCTAGGTACATCCGTCGTATTGGCGTATTGCTGCATACGACAACATACCCGCACACCACACACGCACACACACACACACACACACACACACACACTCGCGCATGCATCACCATCATCACACACACGCACGCATACACACACGGGCGTCTGGAATCCCTGCTTGGTTGGAGCTCAGAAAAAAAGAGGGACTCATCCTTTTGCCACGGCGTATGTATTAATATTACTTGTACTCCGTACAGCATTCAGAGTGGCAGAGTAGCAGGCTAACAGCAGCATACATACACACACACACACACACACACACACGCACGCACGCACGCACGCACGAAAACTTCAAGATCCTGTTGGTCCGATCACCCCGTAGCCTGGACCGTATCAGAGCTGCGCAACATTTCTTGTGTTAATGTCCAGGCCGTCTCCACCTGCCTTCCCATCTTGCTCATCCCCCCCTGGGCCCCTGTCTGTCCTGCCAACTCCACCACCTTAGCTCAGTCAATCAGTCCACCCGTGGGTCACGCACTATGTCAGAGGGAGGGGGGGGAAGGGGTCGAGCGGTAAAAGGACAGTCGAAGATCAGAGCAAGAAAAGGTAATAACGGAGCATCGTGTACAGCTTACAGAGTATTATTTTATTGCCGTACTCGTACAGTGAGCTTCATCAGGTGCGAACCCACCGACGGTGGAGCGGAAAGGGAAAAAAAAACAAACAAAAAACAAAAGAGACCAGGGTTGTTTCGAGTGACGAACGATATTACTCGTACTTACAGAGAGCACTAGACGATATTATTTTATTATCGCTGTCCGTTGCCGTCTGTCGTTTGCCCACCACGCCACGTCCGGAGCATTATACTTTTTCTTTTTTTACTTCTTTCTTTCTTTTTCTTTTTCTTTTTGTTCTGTGTTAAAAAAAACAACAAAACCCCATTCTTACCTCCCTTCCCTCCGTTTCCCTGGTTTTCAAAGAGGAGTCGCGCTCTGGTAATGACGAAATCCAGAACTATTGCTCTCTTCCTCTATCCTGTTTACGCTATAGAGTCTGCATACACCAAGCTTCGACTGTCGAGAGAGCGGCTCCGGCATCTAGACAGCTCGAATACGAGTACACAGAGCAACACGTTTCACACGGCCCGGCACAGCTCTGCCAACACCCTCCTCCGATATTTGTTTGCGCTGGCCGTCATCACCGACCGCTCCGCCCAGGTCCAACAACCAGCACCGCAAACCGAGGGCGGCTCTCTTACGAGTACCATCTACGAGTACTTCTGGCAATAACCAACAACAGTGACTCCAGAATACTCTCTCCCGCGCAACAGCATCTGGGTCTATTCTTCCCCTCCCTCTTGTCTCAGATCCCAACTCTTTTGATTTTTTTTTCTCCCTGTGTGTGTGTGTGTCCCACTCGCTTCGGGGGTCCGTAAACCCCTTGCCGCTCGCTTCTTTCGCAAACTCCGGTAAACGATAATACACACACACCCTCTCGATCTGGGACATACGTACGAAAGAGAGAAGGGTGGACCAAGCAAGCAACCGGCTACGCAGAAAAAGAAACAAGGGACCCGACGTCCCTCTGGCACGGGAACATTTGAATCATGGTGTCCGCTTGAAAATAAGAAGACGTCCGCCCGCGCAACCTCTTGTTACCCTGCCCTGCCACTCTTGCTGTCACGTCCCGCTGGTCTTCGTGGTAGAGAGAGAAGCTTCCCACCCGTCCATAGATTCCCTTCTCCTCCTCTCACCTCTCGTCGGCCGTCAACGACGACGACGATACGAAGACCGATGGAGCCGTCGCAGGTGTCGCCGGCGGCCACCGCCGGAGTGGCCGGCCTCGCCGAGCTCAGCGACGCCGTCTACTTCGCCAAGGTCCTGCAGCTACCGCTGGACAAGTCTGAGTCCAGCGTCGAGGCTGAGCTCGTCGCCCGCGCACGCGAACTCGGCATCTCAGCCTCCCTCTTCACGCAGCACGCGCACCGCCAGCAGCACGCAGACAAGCGCTACACCTCGAGCGCAGAGTCGGCTTCCACCGTCCAGACCTCGTCGTATCATGGCCGCACCTTTTCTACCGCCTCCGACTCCGATGCCAGCACCGCTCCCACGATCCACTCCTCTACGCCTCCCACGCCGTCCGTCTCCGCCGCGACGAAGAACAATGACTCTGCCGTCGCTCTGGAGAAGCGACCCCCCCGCGGCCGGGAAGGGGAACTGAGCTTTTCGCCCTACGAAAAGTATGTTGCCAAGGTCGGCGCCGGCCTTGATCAGCCCAAGGCGCTGCGCAAGTCATCGCTCGTTCCAGCCGAGTCCTCGTCCAGGAGCATGTTTAGCGTCAGCACCAGGCGCAGCTTCGTCAGCCTTGCCTCGGGGCTCAAGAGCAGGATCCGGTGGCGGAGGAAGTCGATATTGCCGCCGCCGCCAAATGTCATGTAAGCCCTCTTCATACACAGTCTCCTCTCTACAGCCCTCTTTCCATGCTCCCAAACTGACGCATCACAGGTCGTGCATCTGCTGCCGCGACGACTACCGAAACGGCCCCAAGACGGCGCCCCTTCACTCCCTCCCGTGCGGCCACACGTACTGCTCGCACTGCCTCCGCATCATCATCAGCCAGTCCATGTCTGACGAGGCCAAGATGCCGCCCCGGTGCTGCGCGCAGCCGATACCGGGCAGCCTGATCCGGAGCACCCTGACACGGGACAGCCAGCAAGCCTTCCTCAAGGCCGTGGCTCTGTACAGCACACCGTGGAAGTCGCGGATATTCTGCCCCAACGCGGACTGCGGAGAGTTCATCCCGCCGCGCAGCAAGGTAGATCCCAAGTCTCCCCTTAGCGTGGCATGCCAGTCGTGCCACACGCGCGTATGCGTGACGTGCAGGCGCAACGCCCACCCGGTCGGCAAAGACTGTCCCGAGGATCGGGAGCTGAAGAAGGTGCTCCGGATGGACGATAAGTCCGGATGGCGCCGCTGCTACAAGTGTCGCAGCCTGGTGGAACCGACGCAGGGCCGCACTCACCTGACGTGCCGATGCAGGGCGCAGTTCTGCTACACGTGTGGCGGCGTGTGGGACCCGGCGGTCGGGTGCCCCAACGTGTGCAGCGGCGAGGAGGAGCTGGAGCGGCGACGGGCCGAGGAGGACGAGCGGGCCGCCGAGGTGGAGGCGGAGGGGGCGGCGCAGGAGCAGGCCAGCGAGGCCGAGATCACGGCTCGCAGCGTGGCCGAGTCGCGCTCCCGCTCCCACCCGGATTTCCAGAAGCTCACGCGCCAGCAGCAGGATGAGCGTGACCGCTTCGTCGAGCTGGACCGCGCGGCCAAGGACGCGCTGCGCCGCCGGCACGACGAGCAGCGAGCCGCCATGGCGGACCGACACATGGACCAGCAGGAGAAGATGAAGGAACGCCACATCAAGACGGCCGGCCACCTCGAGGATAGGCAGGTGGCGGCCGAGCTGGAGCTGCGCGTCTCCCTGGAGCAGAGCGAGCGGAGCGTCCGCATCCGCCTAAAGCACATGGAAGCTTACTGCGAGGGCCTGGGCCGATCCTCGGCCCAGCAGCAGGCCGCCTCGTCGCCGAGCGGTACGTCTATGCCCCAGCGTACCGTGACGGAGCGCGACCTCCGCGAGCTGGGACAGCAGTACAACCTCCGCGACAACATGGAGCGCATGCACCAGTCCAAGATCAACGTCATGCGCGACCGTCAGGCGAAGCGCATGGAGGAGCTGCTAGACAGGCAGGAGGCTGAGCTGGCGACGCTGACGGCCAAGGGCCACGAGGAGCTCGACGATCTGGCTGCCCGGTTTGCCCACGAGACCGATGCCGCCAATTCGCTGTTCGCCGCGAGGGCTGACAGGCTGCGGCGCAGGTGGGATCTTGCCATGGACATTCTGCTCAAGGAGGTGCAGGGGGATGATGAGACGGTCCGATACGCGAGGTTGCCAGTACCGCAGCTGCAGCAGTAACCTTCCCCGCCCTCTCTCTGTCCTTCCTTGATCTTTTCTTCTCTCTCTCTCTCTCTCTCTCGTCGTCTCGTCGTCTCCCCCTTCGCTGGTCCCCTCTGCCCGCTCCCTTTGTTGGTCTTCCCTGTCCACACCAGAGCCTCCAAGCACAGACACCTTTTTTTCTTTCTTCTCAACTGCCCATCTTCCTTTCTCTCTGCCTTCCAAGCGACGCCGGATGATAGTCAACGCGACCATACAAAAACGTCTCATCACGCGCATATACGACCATTCTTTATGTGTTTCGACGATGCTACTTACCCCATTTCCGACATTTTCCCACATATCTCTTGCCTCCATTTCCGACCAATATACACTACACCATTTCTCTACTTTTTTCTGTTTCCATTTCAGACGTACCGTCCTGCTTGGACATGCCACCTCGCATGCACGCCGCATTCAAATTTCCTCTGTCGATGGTTGATGCCAGGTTCATCTCTTCTCTCATATCCTGTCCGCTTTATAAGATAAAGATACCTCTTATTGTAATGCAGTTTATTCTCTATTCTTATTTCTCATTCCGTTCTGTCCTTTTTCATTATTTTTACCATCGGGGGATAGAATGTATGATTGGGGAGAGATGTTTTGTTCAGGAGAGTCATCTCTCGCTTATATGTACATTGATACCTAGTATGCCTTTGCAAACCCCGACTGTTGCTCGTAGCCAGTTGGTCTCGATGTTTCTCATCCTTTGCGTTACCGACCCGGAGTGAAGTGACGACGACGTATTCGTGCCACCAAGTGAACGGTGGTAGCAGTAGCGGGCATGTTTCGTTTCGTCTCGTCTTGCTCGTGGCATGGATGTTTCACAGCCACACTGGCGACGACGATAGTATATACGATGATACGAGCGTCTCTGTAGATTCAAGAAAGTAGGCGGTCAATTGGGTACGGAGTAGAGTAGCCTGTGTCTCATCAATGCTGTACACCGCTTTGGCGAATGATGCTATTTATAAGTGGGTTAGTGTGCGCCTCTCTCTCTCCCCCTCTCCCTCTCGTGTGTGTGTTTGTGATGGGATGCAATGCAGAAGAAAAAGGGCGGCTGGGATGTCAAGATGTCAAGATGTGCGTGAATTGGTGAAGCTGGTAGGTGACGTTGTCATACGGCATATAGGTAACTACGTTTAGTACCAACGGGCGGATACCAGACCAGGACCCATAGGCTATGGATGCCACTACAACCGAGGGAGAAACACCCCCGAAAATGTCTGAGTCCTGACCCTGTTAACACAGAGAGATAGATGCTGCCGGTATTATTCGACGCCTGATAGATGGGCATCGATATCCTTTATAGGAGAGTTCATGTTGGTATAACCGTTGATATAGTCTCTCTCTCTCTCTCTCTGTAATCTGTAATCTGTACGGTATCTTCGTTAGGTATTGCATAATGTACAGATTACCACCCGTTGCATTATTATTGCTGCCATTACCTGCTATTATACTCCGTAATGCCAGCAGAGCTGAGCCACACTACGTCAGCACAGACCACTTTGCGGAGGGGGGAGAAGGAGCGAGCCCCAACGTTCAGGTAAACAGTCTACGGGTACGGAGTATACATACGTACCTCTGTATAGGTAACAGTCTAGACTCGTAGACTTATTGTATATGCATCTGTGATCCGTAACCTGTATAATAGTCTGTATCCTGTACAGGTAACATAGACAGCCTACTTGTATTCGTGCCGTGAACAGCCTACAACAGCCTACAGGCTACAAGGTACGTCGCACCTGCCTCAGTGGCGGTACCCCCCGGTACCCTGCTTTGGCCCGCCGCCCGTGGCGCGCGTGGCCTGTGGGTGCTTGCCGAGCTCTCCTCCAGGAGGATCATCATCTCGTAAGTTGCTGATCCTCTTCTGCAACGGAGAAGAAGCCAGCAAAGAGGGGCCTAAGCCGTATGTAACCCTTCTCTCCCTCCTCAGGCATCTCTTACCGCATCATCAACGACGCCTGGATCCTCGAGGTGAAAGGAGAGAGTAAATACGCGCATAACATCTCCCCCTCCCTTTTGCGAAACCAACGTCGACACCCCTCCTCCGCGGCCGGACGGATTCTCCATATTACACGAAACAGACAAACCGAAAGACGGGTGACTGCGCAGTTCTTGCATCACCATCCGAACGCGGTCGCCTAGTTCTCCTCCCTCCACCCTCGGGGGGTTTTCTCTCTGTTTTCTCTTCTTGATCGGTCGGAGCGCATTCCGTTCTTCCTCTTTTTTGTCTTGTTTTCTTGTCTTGTTTTTCTTTGATCGACATATATCGCGCCCATCTTCCTCGAACAAGGGGACCTCGAACGACGAAGGAGGAGGCTCTTGCTATCACTTCCCAGACGACGAAGGATCCCGCACGGCTTTCCGAGCCCCAGGTCATTGTCGGCGCCGACCGACGATCAGGACAACGACGACGATATAATGGCCGACTTGTACTCCCCGGCGGCAGACGACGCCCTCCCGCCGCCGTCGTCGGATCTCCACGAGGTAGAGGGTGACCGACCTCTCACCACGAGCCCGCCGCCCGCAACCGCCGCCGACGACGCGACACCGGACAAGCCTGCCACCAGTTACGATGGGGGAGCTGACTCGGGCTCGATCAAGAACCCCCCGCCCGCGTCGACGTCTCAACCCGGCCAACGTAACCCGCCGAGTCCGGAGCTGCTGAGGCAGGTCGACGACGTCCTCTCGTCTCAGGTACAACCAATCCTCCCCCTCCCCTTCTCTCCTACTGACAAGATGATGCGTGCGCGCTAGATTGGCATCGCGACGCTGCTCACCCGCCTCAAGCAGAGCATCGGCTCGACGAGGGTATGTGCCCAACACCCCCCACCTCCGTGATCTGCCGTCGTGGCTGTTAAAGGCTCATGTGATGTCATCTCGCTGCAGGAATTCTCCCTCTTTCTCAAGAAGAGGGCCTCCCTGGAGGAAGACGCCGCCCAGGGCCTTAGGAAGCTCTGCCGCACCACCCAGGAGAATATGCGACGCCCGGATCACCGTGCCGGCAGCTTCGCCCAGGCCTACGACGAGCTGGTCTACGTGCACGAGAGGATGGCGGACAACGGCTCGCACTTCTCGGCCTCGCTGCAGGTGATGTACGACGACCTGTCGGAGCTGGCCGCGAGTACCGAGCGCAGCCGCAAGACGTGGAAGACCAACGGGCTCGCCGCCGAGCAGAAAGTCGCCGACCTCGAGCAGGCTATGCGCAAGAGCAAGGTCAAGTACGACTCCCTTGCCGACGAGTATGAGCGTGTCCATTCGGGCGAGTCCAGGCAGACGGGCAAGGTGCTCAGCGCCTTCAAGAACAAGTCGGCGGCGCAGCACGAGGAGGATCTGCTCAGGAAGGTCCAGGCGGCCGACCAGACCTACCACGGCCACGTCCAGACCCTCCAGACCGAAAAGGCACACCTCGAGAGCACCACCAGGCCAGAGGCCATCAAGGCCCTGCAGGACCTCATCAGGGAGATCGATGCTGGTCTGACTCTGCAGATGCAAAAATTCGGTATGCTCTGACACCCCCCCCCCCCCCCCCTCGGATTCTCACCTTCAATATGGGGCTGGCTTTGAAACATGTTGGCTCGCTCTTTTATTTAAATTTTTTTTTTAAAAAAAAAGAGGGGAAGAAAGAAAATAAGAAGCATGCCGCTGACCTAGAATCTCTCTCTCTCTCTCTCAAAAAAAAAAACAGCTGCTTTCAACGAGAAGCTTCTCCTCAGCAACGGCCTGAGTATTAGTCCTATCAAGACCCCCGGAAGCGACTCGCACCCGATACCTCGCAGCCTCCGCCATGCCGTCATGTCCATTGACGACGAGTCCGACCTCAACTACTTTGTCGGGACTCATCAGACTAAGGTGCCTCCCAGGACTGGCGAGGTCAAATACGAGCGTAATCCTGTGAGCCTCCGCTCACCCTCACTGGGCTCAGCTCACCCTCGTTCCTGATTCTAATCGCACGTCCAGGTCCTCAACCCCCCTTCGTACTTGAACCAGAGCCAGCCTCCCGGATCGCCTCAAGCAGGAGCCGCCCCTCAGATGTCGGGAGTGTCGTCACCTGCGGTAGGACCCACGTCCCCGGCATCGCGGAACAGCACCGTGAACTTTGGGAGCTTCGTTCCCCCGGGAGGGGGCGCCTCTCTGGGACCTAGCGGCGCAAGCCCGCCATCGCAGGACTCGTCTCGACCTCTCGGCTCGTCGCCGCACACGCGCAGCGTCAGCCAGGGCAACGTGCAGCAGCAGTACATGTCCCCGGGGTCGTCTGCGCCGCCCTACTCCCCCGGCGACATCTCGTCGTCTCAGGGGGCTCCGCAGCTCGGTGCGCTGTCGTTCCAGTCGGGGGGAGAAGGAGCAGCGTCGCCGCCCCCGCCTCAGGGGGCCGTTCCCTTTCACCCGGCTCACGGGAGGAGCGCCAGCAGTCACATGGCCGGCTTGGTGAGCTCCACGCCGTCCAACATGGGCGGAGGAGGCGGTGGAGCGCCTCCCAACCCCGTGTTTGGCGTGCACCTCGACGTCATATATGAGCGCGACCAGCTGGCCGTGCCCCGAGTCATCCACCAGTGCATCCAGGCCGTCGACCTGTTTGGCCTGGGCGTCGAGGGCATCTACCGTCAGTCTGGGTCCCTGGCGCACATCCAGAAGCTGAAGCACATGTTTGACACGGGTATGTCTTGCCTCTTTATCCTCTTCCTCCTCCTCTTCTTCTTCTACTTCTCTGTCGTCCCCATCCGTGCACACTGCACACTTCCTAGCGGCGGATAGCATGACTGACTGAGCCCCCGACTTCCGTTGTATAGACTCTGGCAGCTCGGCCCTCGACTTCAGGAACCCGGAAAACTTCTTTCACGACGTCAACAGTGTTACTAGTCTACTGAAGCAGTACCTCCGCGAACTGCCGGATCCTCTGCTCACGTCGGCGCAGCATGACAATTTCGTAGCTGGAGCTAGTATGTCTTTACCCCTTTTTACACACACATACACGTGCACATACGCATACACACTCGCTCTTCCCCCCCTCCTATAGTATATCTTGCACACAGAAAAGAAAACAGAGAAGAGCAACGATGCTGACAAATGCGTAGAACAGGATGACGACGTCATGCGCCGAGATTCCCTGCACGCCATCATCAACAACCTCCCCGACCCCAACTACGCCACCCTGCGCGCCCTGTGCCTGCACCTCCACCGTGTCATGGAGAACGCTCACATCAACCGCATGAACTCCCACAACCTGGCCGTCATCTTTGGCCCCACGCTCATGGGTACCGACCCGAGCAAGGCCATCTCCGATGCCGGATGGCAGATCAAGGCCGTCGACACGATTCTCCAGGGTACATATCAGATTTTCGATGAGGACTAAGTAAGGTCGGGATTCAGGAATCAGGACTCTTTTTTTCTTTTCTTTTTTTCTATCATCGTCTTGTCGTATCATTCCCTAGTACTTTCTTGTTGTGTCGGGAGAAGAAATATACATGTTATCAGGACAAATTCTCCTTTCTCCTTGTCCTTTTTAGTATCGTAACCCTCTATTTTTTTTTTCTTTTTTCCTTTTTTTTTCTTTTTGACGACACCCTTGAGGGTATTCTTGTATTCGCACACCTTTGTAATCCATCAGTCTTGTCTCGCTTTACATGGAGTCTTTTTCTTTTTTCCTTTCTTTCTTTTCTTTTCTTGCTTGTTCCATTCCTTCTTATCCCTCAGAATTCAAACTTGGTCCTATAATGCCATTATTCATATCTTGTCTCAGTAACCGATTACTATCCCCCYCCCCCCCCCCCCCTCCCAACTACGTGTATGTGTACCGAGCACTTTTCTCTGGAGAGCTCCATCTTGACAGAATACCTCAGTTGCAAGTTTCTTTCAACCCGAGATATCGACCGTCCGACTAGAGATTCCCCTGCTACAAGGAAGGATATGGTAGAGCAGATCTCGACTGGCCCCTACTCCCCTACTCCGAACCTCGAGCCCATTTATCCAACATTCTTGAAGACGTCGGCTTCTAATTTACAGCATTCATTCTCACACATCGGCGGCCTCTAATTCATCGAGAGGATATGGTATATCGATAGCAGATGATAGTTTCTAATATATCATATCCTATAACAATCCCCTGTAGCCAGCAAGACCAAAAGACACACGAAAAAAAAAGAGAGAGAGAGAGAGAGACAAAATCTCAAAAACGTTGGTCCCGCCGAGACGTCAAGACTTTCAACTTTTCCTGCTCTTGCTGGGATGAATGAGCGTCTCGAACTCGACACGTGCTGCCACTTGAGCGGCTCGTTACCACCGCTCTCTCTCTCCCTCTCTCCCTCTCTCTCGGCCATGGACTATTCTCGCAGTTCTGTATTATTATTATGTAGAGATAGTAGAGCTCAAATGGGATCCCGGTAGTTTCTTCTTCTCCCCCCCCCCCCTTTTCCTTTCCCACTGACCTATGGTCACATGTGACTCGTGAAGTCATGTTGGTTGGATGAAGATGTAGTATTTGGACTGGGTACCTTGTTGACAGTCTACTTGATTTATGAATATATGCAAAATCATTCAATAATGCCCTCACTAGTTGGAAACAAAAACAAAAACAAAAGAAAAAGAAAAAAAAAACTCCCCCAAAAGACGCTTTCCCATGCACTATGATAAACCCCCCCTTCCCCCCTCCTCCCCTCCTCCCCTCCCCCCCTTCTTCCCACCTTCTTCCCACTCTCATCCCTCCTCAACTCCAAAAACGTTGGTACATCAAGAAACATAGAAAAAAAGAGGAAACCCCCCATGAACAGGGTATTGACATATGAAAATGGACGAGTTAGAAGGGGAAAAGAAGTAGAAGAAACATGAAAAGATGAGATAGAAAAGAAACCAGGAAAAAAAAACTACTGAATCCGTATAGCCTCAAATAACCCAAGGCTGAGGCTGGCGTCATTCTCCCCGATCATGGGCGTACTCTCACTCAGCATCTCCCACTGCTTCAGAACGAACGGCGTGTGTCGTTCCTGCGCGGCGGGTCCGATGCCGTACATGGCGCCCATGTTTCTCTGCCCCACGGCGGCGTGGGCCTGCAGCACGGACGACGGGGAAGATTTGGCGGCACCCGCACTGCTGTTCTCCCGATGGACGAGCACCAGTCTGTCCGCCGTCGTCGTGGGCTGCGGCGCGCCGAGGAGGTAGCATAGTTTCGGATCGGATGAGCCGGTGGGTGGGAGCGACGAGGTCGATGAGGAAGAGGAGAAGAGGATGCTCCGCGCACACTGAAGACGCATGTCGTCTGGTATGACGTCCACCAGGAGCATGGCAACGTCGAACACGCGCTCGGCTAGGTCCGTGGCTGCGCTGTCGGGAAGGGATTGCAGTTCTAGGAGGAGGCTGCACAAGGCGACGACGATGCGGGCCCGCAACTCCTGGCCGGTGTTGTTGCTGTTCGTGGCCGTGCCCGCGGCCGTGGCGGAGGCCACGTGGCTGGTGATCAGACGGAGGAGAGCGGGGAGCCAGTGGTCCAGCACGGCGGCGCGGACAGAGTCGTCTGCTTGCTGCCGGTTGTTGGCGGAGACGATCTCGCACAGGTCGTTAAGCTTGTCTACCAGTTCACCAGGGGGCTGGGACGTCATGGACCGCGTGGGCGTGGGCGTGGGATTCGGCTGGTGGCCCGCGGACATGGCCTCCACTACTCCCACGAGGTTCTCTCCCAGGTGGATCTGGTCTCTCGACGTGGTGTCCTGGAGCCGGTCGGGAAGGCGGAGCGACGGGACCAGGCTGAGGAAACGTGCGTGCGCTATGTTGCGGAGGTGCTGGGAGATCTCGCCGCTGAGGCACGGCAGCATGCTCGTCCAGGTGATGTTGTTGGCCTCGATGGCCCGGTCCACGGCGTTGGAGAAGAGGTCGAAGCGCGAAGGTGCTGGGCTGCTCTCGCCCGCGGCACCCTGATTGCTGGTCCACTCCGTCACTGACAGGTCAAACTCTAGCTTGATCTGGCAGAACGGGAGCGTCAGCTCCGTTGCCAGCCCGAGGATGCGGTCGAAGGATATGTGGGCATCCGCGGGGCCGTCGGGGAGCAGCAGTTGCGTCGTCACGCTCGAGACTATCTCCGTTGCGCCGGCCGGCAGGTCCCTGATGCACAGGGCCTCGCTCGCGGCCGGCGGATCCAGGACGACGAGCAGCCTCAGCGCATCCAGCACGTGGTCGCGCAGCGACGGGTCGTCCAGGGCTAGCCTGATGTCCGCCCGCTGGTCACGCAGTGTCGAGTACTCGGCGATGGCGTTGCGCATCAATCCCAGGAACGCTGGCGCTCTGTCCGACCTAGCTGCATCCTGGTGGATGCGGAAGCGGTACGTCTCCTCGCGGCTCAGCCCCGTCGTCTTGGGGAGCTGCAGGAGGAGCAGCTCCAGAAGCTCCTGGAGGTACGTCGCGCACCCGCCATTCGTGGCGTCGGGATCGGCCGCCGACGGCTTATCTGCCATGGGTGGCGAGGCGTTGGCCGTGTGGAGCAGTGCAGGCACTGTCAGGCAGCCCATGATGACCAGCATGGGGAACAGCTGAGCGAGGGGGGGCCGCGAGGCCATGGACCGCACGTGGCTGACCCAGTCGGACATGAGCTTGTCAAAATGGTGGGTGTCGAAGACGCGCATCTTTGTGAGTAGCGAGGCAAACACCCGCCGGCTATCGTCGCCCTTTGTCCAGCCGGACTCGAGTCGAGGCAGGATGGCACGGAACAGCCTGTTCATGGTAGGATGGTCGATCCTCGTCCCGCTGGCCAGCAGCTTGTCGATTTCCTCGGACAGCTCACCTTCACCGGACTGCACCTGGAGGGCCATGCTGTCCGAGACCGGGGAGCACGCGTCGAGGGCGTTACTGCGGTCGCTCTGCAGAAGCTCCTGCCGTAGCTGGCCGGCGACCTCGTCGTACCCGGGAATCCGCTGAGCCAGGAGGGCGACAGCCACTAGCATCGTATGGGGCGTCCCCCCCCCCTGCTGTCCGAGGGCCCTGAGCTGCTCCACGAGCACGTTGAAGCAATCGGCTGCTGAGCCCAGGGCGACAAAGACGGCGAGGTTGACGTTGACCGTGTCGGCGCACGCGGCCAGAACCTCCGCATCCGACGACTTGAGACAGGACTGGACGACGTCGGCCAGTGCTACGAAGTCCTCGGTCGTCTCCAGGATGGCGCGGGCTGAGACGAAGATGCTGAGGAAGGCAGGGCTGTTGCTCCCAACGCCACTGTTATTGCCACTATTACCATTCTGGTCCTGCTGCGTCATGATGGTCCGGATCTGAGAGCTGACGGCGCACTTGAGGGCCTTGCTGCTGTTGCGTATCCGAGCGAGGAGCTTCTTGAGGGGCATAGGTTTCCTTTGAGACATGGGATCGTCGACCGGCAACGGCAGCCCCAGCGTGTGCTGTGTGCACCTGACCGCGATGGCAATGTCCTCCTCTTCGCTAGCGGTCGAGTAGTCGCCGGCACGACGGAGCAGATTCGCGCGGTCGGCCTTGAGGCTTGCCGGGAAGGAGTCGGCGGGGAGCTCGACAAGGAGGCGGGTGGAGCAAGGGCTGTGTTCAGGGTCGATGTCGGACGCATCGTGCAGGCCGCCCCGCGAGATGAGCCACTGCAGGTAGCGGGGAACGGAGAAGAGGCGGTAGCGTATGAGCTCGGAGACGAGGTGGTACACGAGGCCCTTGCGCCTCTGATCGTGGGGTGAGATGTCGTCGAGGATCCCGAGAAGGGGAGTCGTAGCATCAAAGCTCTCGCCAGGGCACCAGGCTCGGAACGACTTGAGTATGGCTGTGGTGACGTAGATTCTGGCAACTCCGGACCGATGCATGGACGTGGCCCATTCGACAAGTGTCCTGATGAGCTGCGTCTTATCGTCGGTTGCGGACCAGCATTTGGCAGCTAGGTCGATATCCATGGCGTTGGGGAGGGTGGAGTCCAACAGCTTGACCAGCTTCTGGCGGCCGGCCGGTGGATACGAGGTCTCGGCTGAGCCTACCCGCATGTTGCGCAAGTTGATGCTGCTGTACGCCCGTTGCGAAGCCTCATCATCGGCAGGCAGGGCGGCCTTGAGACTATCACGATATCTGGGCCAGGTGTTTGGCAGAACAAAGCTTTCGGGGTTAGTCTTGACAAGGCCGTTCAGCATCACCGCCAGCTGAGAATACAGGCCTGAGAGAATATCGCGATCGGGATCGTGTTGGATCTAGAGGAGGTGATCAGCTTTACGGTCCCACAGCCACACGAATGTACGTGCATACATAGCCGGGAGGATTCTTCACATACCGTGTGCATATGAGCGAGAAGGGCCGAAACGGTGCGCAGCCCGTACTTGCGCGACCGCAGCAAGTCAGACCAGTATATCTGTGCAATGAGCATCCACATGGGGAGTCTGGACTGTGTACTATTCTCTAGGCCCGAAATGATCCAATCGAGGTAATGGTCGCGGGCGAGGAGGTGTTCCGAATACAAGCTCGTAGCAAGGCGAATGCTGCAAGTTGTCAGAAGCTGCTGTAGTATTTGACACATGGAGAAGAAGAAGGAAGAGAGAGGCGAGACAGGAGACATACGCATAGGTAACCTTGGCTTTCCAACCAGGTTCGTTGGGGGCGGAAATGACCGAGTCGACGAATTGCTCGACAAACATGGTCCAGTCCTTGGACCATTTAGCCTCGTTCCCCATGACGGTCGGGGCGTTGGCGCCCTTGCGCTTGAATGCGCGGATCTCGTTTGCGCCGACGCACTTGGCGAGCCAGACGGCCCTCTCGGTAGGCACATTCTTATTGAGGCACTGGTCGAGGAGGGTCCTGCCGCGGATTCCGTGGGGGATGGTGCGGCTGAGGCGCCGGAGCGAGGTGGCCGGGTTGGCGAGATCCTTTAGCCAGACCTCCCTCTTGGTGTCCGTCAGGGTGACGCGCGGAGGCGGCTTGAAGGTGGACTGGGCGGTGATCTGGCCGCGCTGCCGGCGCTGGCTGAGGATGCCGGTGAAGATGCTCGACAGGGCGCTGAGCCCCGTCTTCTGCTTGAGGGTGGGCAGGATGGCGGGCCTGGCCGACGACGACTCGGTGGAGCTGTACTTTTCCCACACGCCCTTGGAGATGGACTCAGTGGACCACTCGTCCTCGCGGTGCTTACCCGTCCAGGGGAAGAAGTCGGCATGGCCAGACGAGTATCCCTTGCCGAACTGGTCAGCGCCGACGAGGTTGGCGCGGGTCGACGTGGCCAGCCGGGGCGCGTCGGGCGGCACCTCGACCGTGTAAGGTCTCGGCCGCCCGTCCTTCTTGACCGACGGTTGGGCAGCAGCAGAGGCGGCGGCGGCGGCTGGGCTTGCAGAAGGGCCGGATCGGTGGGCAGCGATGCGTCGCCGGCTAGGCATAGGCATGGGCGGATTATTGGTATTGTTGTTGTAGTAGTAGTTGTTGCTGTTGTAGTTGTTGTTGTAGTAGTAGTAGTTGTTGTTGTTGTTGTTGTTGTTGTTGTTGTTGTTGTTGTTGTTGTTGTTGTAGTTGTTGTTGCTGTTGCTGTTGCTGTTGTTGCAGTCGGTGCCGTCGTGGTGCGAGGCCCTCGAGAAGACGGGACTGTTGGTATCGCCGTCGATGCCGTCGGCCGTCGAAAGGGCGCGGGCGGAGACCAGGCTCTGGGGTGATTCGGTCGACAGCTGCGGCGCGGAGGCGGTCAGGACGTGGTCGCTCGAGAGTTCGAGGCGTAGACGGGAGCCGCCCCTCCTAGGCGTATTGCTCCCATATCGGCTCGGGGAGGCGTCGGTAGTAAGGTCAGCGGAGACGTCGGCATGCTGCTGCTGCTGCTGCTGCTGTTGTTGTTGCCGGACGGCAGCGGGCGATGGTGAGGGAAGGTGGTGATGAGCGTGATGATGCGATACGGAACGGTGAGGAGGAACGGGCTGCTGAGCGGCGGCTGTTGCTGGCAACGTAGAACTGCTGCTGCTCAGCGACCGCTGTTGGGGTTGTCGCGGCTGGACACCCACGGGGGTCCTGGAGGTCATGTTATGGGTGGAGGAGGTGATGCGCCATTCCGCTGAGGTCGGGTGTCGAAGGGGGTGTGCGGTCGAGTCTATGACGGTCGCAGAGCTGGTCTGGCGACGACAGGTAAGAAGCGGATCAACCAGCCGACGACGGGCGCTATGGAGGTGGTGGAGGTGGCGAAAAGAAAAAAAGCACGTCGAAACGGTAGAGAGAGGGAGGGGGGGGGGATCGGCTATGGCTGTGAGGCCTATGGTCGGGTATATGGGAGGGACAAGGGATATGCACAGAGTATACAGGGCGTTAAACCAAACGGACAGAAAAAAGAAGAGGATGGCGGGGAGGGCAGTTGATGGAGACGAACGACGACGTCGTGGAGATGGTCGGGTGTTGAGGCGTACGGGCCCATATTGAGGCTATACGTACTCTGCTGGTACGAGTATTGCAGTCTGCCGGTACAGTCTGCTGGTACAGTCTGCTGGTACAGTCTGCTGGTGCACAGTCCTTCTGGTAGCATCCGGTATTACGGAGTATGAAATCCATAAATTCCAGTGGCACCACGGGGAAGGCAGCAAACAGTTGGTCAGACACGCATACACAGAGAGAGACAGGCAGGCACGCACTCACTCACACAGAGGAAACGACGCTAGGGTCCTTTGCTCCGTATTAGTGCATGGTATAATGATGATATACAGCAATATATGATGATGTATAATAATAATATATACTCCGTACAGGCGAGGAGGGGTGGGCGGCACACCAGGGACGGGATAGGACGCCGACGGCTGATTCCTGGAGGGATGAGGGAGCTGGAGCGCTGTAGCCGGTCGGTAGCTAGGGGTCGGGGCCCTATGCTCAATGCTCCATCACCTAATCTGTACAGCGGCTGATGAGTCGAGGTAGGTATCGACGAGACCCATGGACCGCGTACCTAGGGGCTGACCACGCCAGCGACCCACGCGCTGTTAATACGCTGTAACGCCTCGGAGTCTACCCCCGTGCAGGCTTCCATACGAGCAAACATGCCTCCCTAGCCAATCACGGCCCGTCGCCAGTCCATGGATAAGCGGCGGCTGCGGGCTCTGCCCGACGGATCACATACGCGAGGCGAGTGCGCGATTACGGAGTACGAGGAGTTTACTCCGTACATGATGTATGCACGATTACTTGTAGTGATGGCACCCACGGTACGATTGCATGCTATCATCTGTGTTGGCGGGGCTGCCATCGACGGGGCATCCCATGATTGTTATCTGTACGAATCCTCGTCGTTTCTATATTGCAAAGTGCCAATGGTAAAGAAATGGCAACCGAGGAGGAGTCGGAAGCATCGATCAGGTTGCTGCGATGGATACCTTGCGAGACTTACTCGTGCTCTCTTGGGGAGGACGAATCACCCACCAGACACAACCCTGGACTCTGTTCATCCATCTCTTCCTCTCCCTTCCCACCGAATCGGACCGTTGCGGCAGGGATAAGTTACGAATGCCAGCTGCCCGTCGTGGAGAGCGGTGGGAATCTGCCCCGGAACAGAGCAAGTAGCAGCCATCATGATAAGGGAGGCAGGCCAAAAGGAGGAGGCACATCGGAAGAGCCTGAGAGACACCCGCTCGGTCCGCCTCGGGCACATGCGCAGTCATTTCCTGATACGCCGTGCTCTGTAACGCCTGCGCTGTTGCAGCCGCGAATAGCTAGTAGGATTACGTCGTTGACCCCATTCTATTCGCAGTCTCACGCTTCGTCTCTATGCATTCTATACTCATATAGGAAGCTGGCTGGTAGGATACTATCCATCATGCTCCAACGTAAGTGTGTCTGACCGTCATCCTTTTCCGCTGTTCTGTTGACGACGGTACAGACGTCAGGATCGACGTGATGAGCAAGACCGTGTAAGAGGAACGGCGGTGATTGTGGACAGTGAGAAGGGATTTGGATGTAGTTGGATAGCACGATATATCTGTGGGAGCAAACACCACAAACACCTCTGGCTCACACATTCAGATAGCAGATCAGGTGTTCAGCGGTGTCAAGGTTCTTGTTCCGTCTCCTCGTCGTCGTACCGGACTCGACGGTTTTATGGTCGAGTCCCGCTTACCTAAGCCATGATCCAATCTACCACGACACTTTCGGCGTTTTGCGGCTCAACGCATTGACACGCCGGCTTTTACGCCTTTAATAGCGGCAAGGACGTCTTCTTCTAGATACTTAGGCATTGTAGATTATCGTGACATGATTTTTATATAGAGAGAGGACGCTCTTTACACGAGAAAACGCGGTAGAGAGGTTGTGACTCGAAGTGGTAAATGTGTGGTGGAGGTGTCCGAAAAGGGGGGGGGGGGGGGTGTTCTGAGAGTGACTTACATGCAATAATCAGTAATAATACTACGACTGATATCTCGCCACAGTGACAGACACATTCCCTCCACCCCCCCGAAAAAAAAACGATAGCTGGCTGAGCGAGGTTTCCCCTCAGCGGAAGAAGCCACTGATTCCAATGAATCCCACGGCTAAAATACAAAACCCTCAATCTGGATCCAATCCCTTCTAACCCCTTCCTCTTCCTGCCCAAGTTTCAACTTGGCGTCTTTTCGAACCCGCCGCCAGGTAATAGTACATATTTCACCAACTGCGTCATGTCGCCGCCGTCCCCCCCACCGATTGACCCTATCACGAGGTGGTGCTGTCCGTGTCCCCCCTCCCTCCTTGGTCAGTACCACCACCAGCTTCGAGTAGATGCACCTGCCATTGTCATCGTCTGTCCGGTGATACGACACCACTTGCACGAGGAAGCTTGAATATAGAGGGAAAAAAGAAACGAAGAATGATAGGTTGGGTAGCGTTGGTGTGTGTGGTAATCACACCACCTTCTCGTCGAGAAGGGGAAGAGAAAAAAGGTGAGCTCACCTCATTGTCTGTGGCAGTGGGGAGTGAGTATTAGCTTGCATATGCATACAATAGTGGCACATGGCCTCGGAACACCGAAGCCCGTCATGATCCGATGCCAAGAGGTTGAACTTTTTTTTTTCCTTCTTTTTTTTTGGGAGGGAAAAAAAAGGATGTCGACATTGGCTTCGTGGCACGTCACCTTAGAGTTGATACTGGACACGATCAGAATGGTCTTGAATGATGTGCTCGAATTGATAATACTATACGTGAGATGTAAAATGCAAGATATTGAAAGGTTCGCATGCAGGTTTCAGCAACACGAGACCCGTCAACCCTCCGAATCGACCTGAGATTGCTCCATCTTTCTACCTTGTATTGCGGATATCCATGAGGGAGGGTTATCATGTAGAGAGATGCTAGGGGGAGCCAGCACCTCACAGCTCGACGACGGTCGACTCGACAGCCCACTCACTCCATCCCTTGCGCTCTCCAGGCAGCCTGATCTGTTGCCATTCCTGCTCCGTGACGCTGGACCACTCTTCGGCGGGGATCCAGCCGATGTAGGCGCGGTTGCCGAACCCACCAACCCAGTAGACGTTGGTGACGACGAGCCTGGCCCACGAGCTCTCGTGGATGGCGTTGCCGGGGAGCCACCACTTGGCCTCGTGGTGCTTGTCGGTGAAGCACTTGGCCAGCTTGAGGGACGTGACGGCATCGGGTTCGATGGGCTCGAGGTATCCAAAGAGGGAGAATCGAGGGAGGTTGGCGGCCGAGTAAGGGATGGGGTCCGGGCCCAGGGCCAGCTCCTCCGACCCCTCTCGCTGCTCACCCGAGAAAGACAGGAGGGAGGAGATGCGGGACAGGAGACCGATGCGCTTGGCGGGCGGGTAGGGAGGAATCCAGCGCACCGAGATGGTCATGTTGGACCCGGCCTCGACATTCTTGAAGCTCGTGGCGATCTTGATGGCTAGCAGGGTGGGGTTGCCCTGGTCCTCGCAGTCGGCGACGTAGTCCATCAGGCTGACGGGGACGCCACCCAGGCCCTCGGGTCTGTTCTCGGCCGTGTCGGCGTCGCTGTCACCGGGGTCGGGAAACACGGTCGCCAGGTCGGCCAGCTTGCTCAGGGCAAGGATGCGGCGACCCTGGACGGCTGACTCGTAGCGCGAGGGGATCTTGGCCGGCGTCGGATCCAGAACGGCGGCGGCCGAGGCGGTACCCGTCAGCCCCGCCACGAGATTGAGGAGCTTCATTGCTGCTGTAGAGAGATGATGTCCTTGCGTGTACGTCGACGAGGTATAGAGTGGTTGATACTGCGAGAAAGTAGGGTGCTTCGTCCGTGGTCGCGATATGCGGTTGAGTGCGGGGAAAGGATGGGAGAGAGAGGAGGAGGAGGCGAAGGGAGAGGTCAGTTCATAAAAGGCTTCGAATTAGTGGCGTCATCTAGCAGGCAGCGGTGGCAGGCGCTGGAAAAGCCAAAAACATGGGTCACTGGTGCATGTGATTGATAAGATTAGATCCCGACAGCCCAATAAACTTTGACGCAACTGGTATCTTTGAACGCAAACGGCTACACGAGCGGACGGCTTTGCACTATTTTTCCTCTTTGGTCGTCTTTATCCTTGCTTGCGTCTTAGTTGCTTCAACATCCATTGATTCCTGTCCGGTTTTGAGGCGCAATGTTGACTCCACGCAGCTGAGGCGGGGGGAGCATGGGCAGAAAGTGGATTTGGGGACCCCCGGAAAACAAAGAGGGAGCACACACCCGGTACGGTCACTTTCGTGTTCTGTGCCAGTCCGGATGGTGGTCAACATGAGTTGATTGACCGGGTGGGTTGATTTGGTCATAGACCGATGAAGAGATGACGCCACACATGTCCGCAGCTGGCTGGTCGAGACCCCTCCCTTGCAGCGGCACGGAGTAGATAACACCTCATATGGACGACCGACGGCCACGAAGAGAAGACAGACATGTCGAAGTGTGCTCTCGACTTGATATAGCCCATCGCATACCAATACCAGGGACACAGACCCCCGTGACGGGTTCCCGTGGTGATGTTTCCGTGGCCCAATGTCTCGGAGAGGAGAGCGGTGGCCTATCCCCTGTAGAGCTTGGAATGCACCAGCACTGAATCCTGCTACGCAGCGAGGCTTTGGATCGAATCATCGAGGCAGGCTAGTAATACTACTCTACCGTTATTGCATGCATCAACCTACTTCCAAGTACCACCCCAAGTTCCAGGGGTGTCCAGCCCATTTCAGCTGACGTTTTAACGGAAGAACCGATACGCTGCGCAGCCTGTTTGTTGCTGCCCCAACGCGGGGCGTTTGTTGACTTTTGTTATTTTCAGGCGTCGTTAGTGCATGCCCCGCCACTGACGCCGCCCGCCGCCAGTTGTTGTTGCCAGAGTCGATGACCAGCAGCTGCCCACCAGTTGCTCGTGCACTGTTATTGTTGCCCCCCCTCCCCTCCCAATCCCCCTTCCCAAAGTTTCCCCTCCACCAGACTTTGGGTTTGTGATCCACCTCGTCACTCGTCACTCGTTACTTGTACGCCCGTCTGTCTCACCATCTCTCCCTCCCTCTCTGCCCTTCTGTTGTCCTTTCTCCCATCAGAGAAAAAAAAAAGCATTTGCATTCAACCCCATTGTTAGGCACTACTTTCGTCCGCCCCGTGTTTTTTATTCACTTGTTTCTTGTCCTTATTCCGGAGAGTGACGATTGCTTATTGTACACATCATCATAAAGCCATCATCGTCATCATCAACACCACCTGCCCTGGCCCCGTCGGTTGTTAACGGCGGTAGACCAGCTGAGCCAACAGCAGACCGCCTCGCACCGACCGACCGATCGACCACTTCCACACAATGGCTTCCTTCATGTCCAACTTCTTCCCGGGCGCCGGCAAGGCCTCGGACATTTCCGCCCGCCCTTCCACCCCCAGCAAGCATAACAGCTTCATCGAGCCCTCCAACACGCCCCAGGGCAGCCCAAGCAAGAAGACGGCCCCGCCTGGCGCTCACGACCTGCCCTCGGCCTTTGACCACGCCATGAACCTTGGCAGCGGAAGCAGCAGCAGCAACAAAGCCAACGGCAGCAGCAGCAGCAGCAAAAATCCTTCTTCGAGCAGCGCCACCAACTCCCCCGTCAAGCTGACCCGGCCCCAGAGCGTCGTCACCGCCCCGCCGCTATCCCCCACCAAGTCCAAGGCTCAGCCGCTCGACGAGGCCAACACCAATGTCGATGATAGCATCGTACACAAAAACCCCGTGTCTGGAAACCCTGTGAAGAAGCAGGGGCAGGAGAACACACCCCCCGTCCCTCGCCTGGCTCCTGGCGATGCGCCCGCCCAGCACAGCCATGCCGCCCTGTCGCGTCAGCAGCACTATGAGCCTAGGGAGAGGACTCATGTCCAGACAAAGAGGTTCAACACCTCGCGCGGTCTCACTGCGGAAGAGCGCGAACTGCTGCAGAAGCCGAGCATTCGTAGACTGACCAATGTCACCCAGCTTTGTATGTGCCACCCCGCTCTCCCTGGATCGGTCGACATTTGCTGATAACGTGTCTTCGCGCGCTAGACTTTCTCGACTACTACTTTGATCTCCTGACATACGTCGGCAGTCGACAGAACCGACTAGCCGCCTTTAAGTCGGAATACCCGCCGCCGCCCGAGACAGACGAGCAGACATTCAGCCAGATGTGGACCAAGTACGCCGGCCGCGAGCGGGCCAATCTGCGCAAGCGGCGCGTGCGTCTCAGGCAAGGCGATTTCCAGATCCTGACGCAGGTCGGCCAGGGCGGCTATGGCCAGGTGTTTCTGGCGCAGAAGAAGGACACGCGCGAGGTGTGCGCTCTCAAGGTGATGAGCAAGAAGCTGCTATTCAAGCTGGACGAGGTGCGGCACGTGCTCACGGAGAGGGATATTCTCACGACGGCGCACAGTGAGTGGCTGGTCCGACTGCTGTATTCGTTCCAGGATGACAAGAGCATCTATCTTGCCATGGAGTATGTCCCCGGCGGCGACTTCCGGACGCTGCTTAACAACACGGGTGTCCTCTCGAATCGGCACGCCCGCTTCTACATTGCCGAGATGTTCTGCTGCGTCAACGCGTTGCACGAGCTGGGGTACATCCACCGAGACCTCAAGCCGGAGAACTTCCTGGTGGACTCGTCGGGACACGTCAAGCTGACCGATTTTGGGCTGGCGGCGGGCATGCTGGCGCCGTCGCGGATCGAGTCGATGCGGGTCAAGCTGGAGCAGGCGTCTGAGACGTCGGTGCCCTTTGGCAAGCCCATGGAGCAGCGCACCGTGGCCGAGCGTCGTGAGAGCTACCGTAACATGCGCGACAATGACGTCAACTACGCCAAGTCGATCGTCGGCTCGCCGGACTACATGGCGCCCGAGGTTCTCCGGGGCGAGGAGTACGACTACACTGTCGACTACTGGAGCCTGGGATGCATGCTCTTTGAGGCGCTGACCGGGTTCCCTCCTTTTGTCGGTTCCACTCCAGAAGAGACTTGGCGGAACCTCAAGCACTGGCGGGAGGTGCTCAAGAGGCCCGTATGGGAGGACCCGAGCTACTTTTTGAGCAACCGCACGTGGAACTTCTTGACGACGTGAGATCTCTCCTACTAACCCCCCCTTCCCTCCCTCCGAAGGAGAGCATCACTGACATGTGTCCCCCACCTACAGAGCCATCAACTCTCGCAGCCGCCGGTTCTCCAATTTCCAAGACATCCAGTCGCACGCCTACTTCGCCGAGGTAGACTGGAAGACGCTGCGGCAGACGCGGGCGCCATTTGTCCCCGAGCTGGACTCGGAGACGGATGCCGGGTACTTTGACGACTTCTCCAACGAGGCCGACATGGCCAAGTACAAGGAGGTGCACGACAAGCAGCAGGCCCTCGAGACCATGGCTGACCGCGAGGAGGAGATGAGCAAGAGCCTGTTTGTCGGCTTCACCTTTCGACACCGCAAGCCGGCCACCGAGGAAGGCGGCACTCCGCGGAAGCGCATCCCCGCCACCATGACAGAGGAGGCAGAAGAGGATGCCACTACATTTGGCACCATGCTCTAGAGAAGTGGACGTGCGAGGGAGACTTCCTTGGTTTAGATTTTTCTCTTCTTTTTCTTCCTTCTTCTTTCTGTCTTGAGAGTTTTCTCTCTCTCCTCTTCAACTTCTAATTGACCATGACCATCCTTGGTTTCTTAAGTCTTAGCCCCCCCCCCTTTTTTTCTTATTAGTCTTGTAGTACTTGCTCTTTCTTTTTGGTTCCTTCACTTCGTTCTTCATCACTTGCTCCCTCTTTTTTTCCCCTTGCTTTTCATCCTCTTGGGCTCCGATTGTCCAAAGACATGATGGCTACATCTTGCATACAAGTTCTTGTTCTTTATGGAGTTTTTTTTTTTTTTTTTTCTTTTTTTCGTTAATTTCGTCAAGAGGATGCAGGATGGGATGGGAGATCATACAAAAAAAATGATGTCGGAGTCGGATTGGACTGGAATAAAACTTCTTTTCATGATCGATGCAATTGCCGTTGCTGTTTGCCGCACTGCCTGCCACTGTCATTTGCCACTGCAAGCGTAGCCAAGCCAACACCCAGTAGGAACCACCAGAGGCAACAAAAAAAAATACCAAATCACTCATGAATTTTTGAGCATGAAGAGAGAGAAAAAAAAGTCTCGAGTTGAAAATAGATTGAAAAAAAGGCTCATACAAGAAGAAAACCCGATACTCCTTCTACGCTCCCCAATGATATCATTCATCCGTAACCAAGCCCCCACCCCCAGCATCACCATTCGAGTCGGAAAAACAAACATCGACATGAACCTTTGCAAGATGAACAGAACAGATATCCCTCCCCAAAACAAAAGCAGGAGCAAAGGGGGGGGGTGGAAAAGAAAGTTTAAACGATAGATTGATTCCCTCGCCAATATAAAGCAGGTAAACCCTCAAGCTCCGAAAAAATCCTGCCAGAAAATGATACAAAGAAATATGGTGTATAAACGGTAGAGAGAAAAAAATCACTCGTTGCTGAAAGAACAAGAGTATATCGAAAAAAAAGAAGAAGAAAAAGAGGAAATTCATCAAGATAACGTGCCACAAGGGTTCAGGTCAATCCGTACTATAGGCAAGGGACAAGTAGGATGCCAGTGACTGCACTCGGATCATAAAAAAAACTCGTATCCAAAACGTGGCAAGTGTTATGTATGTGTGTATGTCTGTTGTGGTGGGTGTTGGGGGGGAGGGGGGGGGAGAAGAAAAAACGCCTGATAAGTTTGTCAAGAAAAAAACATAAAAAAAAATGAATCAGGGGTATCAAACAAATCATCAGTCCCGGGGGATCCAGACATGAAAAATTCAAAAGAAACTCCCCCCTATCACAGACTCATAGTCAACCACTCCCACTCCTGGGGACCGGAAGACGACGCGGGGCTCCCCATCATGGGCTTTTGCTGACTTGCTCCACTCATCTGCACTACGTTGGAACCCATCATCGGCCGTTGCTGCGACATGTGGAAGCTATTGGGCATCATGCCGCCCGGCATGATGTGCATGCTGCTTCCCGTTGACGGACGCCCGGCCGCCTCGTTGGACCCGGTCGAGTTGCTCGGGCTGTCGAGGTCCATGCCCAGAGACACCTCGGTACCGCTCTTGCTATGCCTGCGCTGACGTTTCGACGACGCCGTCGAGCTGCGCGCCATCGAGGCTCCCGGTCCGGGGGCCGTCTTGGGTGGGGCGGCTGCGATGGGCACCACGCCCTTGCCGCCCATGGCCGCGTTGGACGACGTGGTGCTGCCAAAGTGGCTGTTGGGTGTGCTCCCGGCCGTATTAACCGAGTTAGCACCGGCGCTAGCGGGACTCTCGACCTCGTTAGCACTACCCGCCCGAGTAGTCGACGGAGGCGTGGTAGCCTGCTGCTGCTGCTGCTGCTGACCGTGTACATTCACCGTCTTGGTCGAGTTGCTGTGCATGTTGGTGGTGACGGTAGGAGAGGTAGAGGTGGGAGAGGTGCTCATGTTGGCTGTCATCTTCGAGTTGCTGACGGCGGCTGGTGCGGCAGCCTCCTTGGCCGTGTTGGAGATGGAGAGGGTCGAGTTCTTGCGCGAGGCGGCGGCCGATCCACCCTTCTTGGACCTGGTGCTCGTGCTGCCCACCGCCACGTTGGGACCCGATCCGCGGTTACGCTTCTTGATGACGTCCGTCTTCAGACTGAGCGGTCGAACCACACCGTGCAGCTTCAGGAAGAGGCCGCAAGCGTTGCAGAGAGGCTGGCCCTCGGGGTTCCTTCTCCAAAGAGGCGTCGTTTGGGTAAAGCAGTTGGTGCACGTGGTGGGGCCGTTGCCGTCGCCTTGACCGGCCGCCTGCAGGTTGGAGCTGGAGCCCTGTTTCGACATGGACGGCGAGGCTGGGCGGCTCGGGACGACCGACGAGAATCCAGACATGGATCCCGGGCCATCGCCGCCGGGCGAGTTCGGGAGCGACTGGGCCAGGTGCTCGAGGCCGCCGTGCTTGGCCAGCTGCGAGGGTGTCGAGATGTTGCGGGGGATCCTCTGCTGCCTCTTGTCGCCGGTTCCGCGGAACGACTGAGAGCGGCCGAGGCCGTTGCTCTCCCAGTCGCCATTGTCGAGGTACTCGGTCGTGGTGCCGCCGATGACGACCTGTTTACGGGTCGGTCCACCGGGGAAGCGGGCAGCCTGCGTGCTGAACTGACCAGGCAGCGAGGCGTCCCAGCCCAGAGATGGCTCGTCCATGCTGCTGGAGAAGTCGTTCATGTTCATGTTGCGGTCGGAGAAGGCGTTGTTGTCCTCGTCATCCGAGTCAGCACCAAAGGAGAACATGTTATCCTGGCCCATAGAGACGCTCGGGGAGCCGAGAGCGTGGTCGGGCTGGAAGACCTGGGCCGGGTCGATGTGGCCAAATGAGCTGGAGGGGCCGCTAAAGGCTGAGATGGAGTCGGGATTACCAGGGGCAGAGAACATGGAGTTGCTGCTGTTGTTGTTGCTGCTGTTGCTGCTGCTGCTGTTGTTGTTGTTGTTGTTGTTGTTGTTGCTGTTGCTGTTGCTGTTACTGCTCGCACCGTTGCTATTGCTATTACGGTTGTGGTTGTTGTTGTTGTTGTTACCACCAGCTCCACTACCGTTGACATGACCGGGCTGGGAGCTGCTGTACATGAACTGCTGATTCATCTGACCACTGGGGTTGGAGTTGTGACCTTGCCGGAAGCTCTGGGAGCGGCTGTGCTGGATATCGTGGCCTCCAAAGTAGAAGCCGTCGTTATCAGCAGCCGGGTGCGGCGTAGAGACGGTGGACTGATAGGCGGATCCCGGTGGTGAGTAGATGTCGGCCGTGTTCATCGAGGACGAGGGGACAGAGGAGCCATTGTATATGGTGGAGAAGGGGGCGTTGGGGACCATGGGCGATGTTCCGGGGGAGAAGAAGCTGTGCTGGAAGGGTCCAGCCGAGGTCATGATGGGGTCATTGTCCATGAAGGTGTCGAGATGAAAGGGCGGGCCCTGCTGATTGTGGGAGTGGTTCATGTTGACGTGAGGGTTGGCATCAAGAGAATAGTCGCGGAGATCAGAATCTGGCTCCAGGTCGTGTGCGCCTGGTGTGTTGCAGTTGACGGCAATGACATGGGGGGAGAAGTTTGCAGGACGTTTCCGAGTCTAAAGGCCGAGGTCAGTCAAGTCGACCAGTCCGTGAGAGAGTGACCCCAGAATGGGCATAGGCGCTAGAGCAGCAGGCAGATAGATAGACAGACAGAGAGAGAGAGAGAGAGACATGGGCCAGCAGGTAGTGTGGTAAGGTGGTGGAAGTGCAT